CTCAAGTGCTCGCAACAGAATCTACACCCTACCTCTGCCTGCTTCACGGCTTGTTCCACCCCTCGTTCCTTGTTCGACTTAAAGCAAAACTGCGGCGTTAGCTCCGTAGCCCCTGCTGTCCCAGCCCTACCAACTTCCTGGTGCACTGGTGTAGTTTCCCTCATTTTATCCCATTCTTTTCCACCTATATAGGGTGGAATCCGGGATAGGAGATGACCTGGCTTTGTACCTCTTAAAAACCAGTGAGTTTTAAAAAGCCCCAAAGCTTTTAAGCATGGAATGACCCTCTTGGAATAACAGGTGTTTCCTAGCGTAAGGATGAAATAGGGTGGTTCTTTTGGACTCACTGATCCTGCTTATCATGCAAGAAAGCACCTGGGTTTGCTTTTTAGTTGCAAACTCCGTCCTGCTTCAAGCAACCCCGCCCCAGTTTGGAAGCCAGATGAAACTCATCAAGTTAGCTAGAGTGCCACTTTGCTTTTTGGGGGGTTCAAAGGAACCCGCCCTCTCAGCCTCAAGTGGTGCAAATCCCATGGATCAAAACCAAAGAGGTCGCTTGCATAAAACCCTGTGGATGCAAACAGAGCCACTGCCCCAATAAGCAGCTTGTCGTCCCCTGTGCAACTCACTCTCCGGCCCAGTGGATTGCCGTGGTAGTGACGGAGACTTGCGAAAAACAATTGTTTTGTTTTGCTCCTTCCCAACTATACATGAATGTCTTTCTAATATTAGAAACTGCTGCTAAGAATCCTTTGCTATGTTTGCCACACAAGGAGAAGTAATAAAGTCTTGTTTAATCCTACCCTCCAGTTTGCCCATTAACTCTACCTTCCCTCGCCAAACACTGGGCCTGCGTGATCTATAATGGCAAATCTCCACTGCCAAAAACTGGGAAGGGAACCAGCATTTTCATACTCGCATTCTAAGGAGCTGGGGCTCCAGTTGGTTGATTTTTTCTTAGTACTAATTTGAATGCTGTTGTCTACACAAGAACGTGGTCTGTATCCTGTTGATGGCATGTTACCTGAAATGCACTGTACAGAGAGCAGTGTTGATCAGACAGAAAGCTCAGTGGGTGACCAGGTGGTTCATAGCGGAAGGACTTCAGTTTAGTAGGGCATTGGTCTGGCTGATCCAAACAGCTGTGAGTGTTTGCAGATGATTCACTGGTTGTGCTCCTTGGATCGCTCTTTGCTGCAGCTCAACTCGGGCTGAACGCTACTCGATATTTTCAATGTGAAAGGTCGCTGCTGCCGTCGTCTCACCTGCGTGGGAGAATGTATAGTGTTGAGGGATAAGAATACTACTCAGGATTGGACAGGTATTGCTAATAAAAGACTTGCAAAGCACGGCCATGACCTGAAGAATTCTTTCCCTTGCCACAAGTTTGGTTTGAGGGTTGGGGATTATTTCTGCCTGACCAAACAGCCGCAGGGCCGGCTTTTCAAAAGGCATTTCAGCACCTAAAGAGGCAGATGGACTGAAAAATCCCACTAGGTGTCTCTCTGCCTTTTTCGGTGCTGGAAATACCTTTGAAAATCTGGCCTTCTAAGAGACTGTTCCTGTGAGGTGCTGAGCTCCCCCCACTGCAAGTGCCCCCTGAGTTCAAGTGGATTTCAAAAAGGTAATAGGACACCACCCCAAGGCTGTAAACCAGTAACCAGTGCCTATGGCGTGGGTGTACTGCAGTACTTATACTAGTAGGTTCAGTTAAATAGCTCCTCTCTGCAATCCACCAATCCTTAAGTGAAAGGCAACAGGCCATCAAGCAGCCTTGATAAATTGCCATGGTTACTTTTGATGACATCATCTGTTGTTTCAGAGGGTCTGGAATCACAGAGAAAATCCTAGTGTTCTTTACTGGGCGAACACAAGAGATGATGTACCAAGCCATGCTAATGTTGGATCTTAGCCAAGAACCATCAGGGAGCATCTAACAGCTCCTTCTGGTTTTCATGCTCCTGTCAAATCCTTTCAAGTAGCATCTCACCCTTTTAATTCACACATTAGGATGATCGACGTTAATGGCACCGCAATCTCTGCTAACACCTTCTCGGGATCCGGCAGCGGGTTGCTCAGTGCTTACGAGAGAAGCCGATCTGCATACCGACACGTTTCTCATCGTGTGGGCAAATAGAGGTGCAAGGAGAGCTGGGCTATTAATGGATTTATGGTTTTTTGGTTCAGGGGCAAGTCTGAACGAAGATGCATTTCAGGTAAAACCAAAAAACCCTGAAGTTTTCTGAAATTTTCAGCAAATCAAAAAAAGTTTTGGCTGGACAAAATGCTTCATTTTGATTTTGACCATTTAAAACTTTAATTTCCTTAAATTTTTTTTGGTCACACAGTCATTTTGTACAAAAAAAAAAATCAAAATGT